TCTGTGAATAGTAAACAGCCATCAGTGTGCTAATGATCCATTGTTAGTCTGATGGTCCTTCTTGACCATGTGAGCAGCTGGTTTTGGTTGTCAGCAGCAAACTGGTTGATCCACTCTGAGAAGGTGCTATTTAAGAGACTGAGCTGAATACAGCACCTCAGACTGAGGAAGTCTCTCAGATGAGAGATGAAACGTTTCTACATTTTTTTTCTTTTTTTTTTTTCTTTTTTTGTTTGTTGCCAAAGTGTCCCTGGGCAAGACACTGAACCCCCACATTGCCTCCGATGTGTGTTTCATCAGTGTATGAATGTGATAAAGCACTGATTATTCTTTGTACAGAAATAGTAGAGTGCTGTATGAATGGGTAAATGAGGGCACAGATTGTATTTTAAGGCGCTTTGAGTATCTTGAAAAGATAGAAAAGCGCTATATAAGTGCAGTCCATTTACCATTAACCATTTACGTATAGAAGATATGTAGCATCTTACTGCAAATACTGAAGGACTTCAGCTTCCTCAAGAAGTACAGTCTGCTCTGTCCCTTCTTGTAGACAGATTCACTGTTGCATCTCCAGTCCAGTCTGTTGTCCAGGTGAACCCCAAGGTATTTATATGTCTTCACCACCTCCACTTCTTCTCCCATGATGGAAATAGACTTGGACCTGTTCCTGTTTCTCCTGAAATCTACAATCATCTCCTTTGTTTTGTCCACATTCAAGATGAGATTATTGTTTCCACATCATGTCACAAAGCGGTCCACCAGTTCCCTGTACTCAGCTTCTTGCCCATCTCTGACACACCCAACCACTGCAGTCATCTGAATATTTCAGCAGATGACGGGAGTCTGTTTCCTACTGGAAATCTGAGGTGTACAGAGTGAAAAGGAATGGTGAGAGTACAGTCCCCTGTGGTGCTCCTGAGCTACTGACTACCTGGTTAGACACACAGCCCTTCAGTCTCACAAACTGTGGTCTGTTTGCCAGGTGATTGTTGAGGCCTCCACCTGAGTCTTCTGGAGTTTCTGACAAAACAAATCAGGCTGGATTGTGTTAAATGCACTGGAGAAATCAAAGAACACGACTCTCACAGTGCTGTCTGCCTTTTATAGATGACAGTGAGTTTGCTAAAGCAGGTGTATGATGGCATCTTCAACTCCAAGTCCATGCCGATAAGCAAACTGCAGTGGGTCCTGATATGTGCTTGTTTGTTTAGTCAGGTGGGCCAACATAATTCTCTCTAGGACCTTCATGATGTGGGATGTCAGGGCAACAGGTCATTGAGGACTGATGGGTGAGGTTTATTTCAGAGTCAGAGTCAGAGATTCTTTATTGTCATTCGCACCTCATGTGGTACATGTGGTGGAGTGAAATTATGTACACAGGGTCCCAGTTACATCCAACAATAAAATTTAAAAGAAAAACAATGATAACATCCAAGACAATTACTAAGAAAAACATCAAATAAATATACACAAGCACTAATAGCATAAAAACATCACGTCGAACATCAGCGCTAACCTGAACACGAGTCTGTGTAAGCAGATGAGCACGCATGAACACACCAACATTGAAACAGATCAGCAGCGACATTGAAACAGATCAGCAGCAACATGATGTGATTTTTTTCACAGTGATTATTCTGGTTAGAGATTCATGAGTCTAACAGCCTCAGGGTAGATGCTGTTCCTCAGTCTAGTGGTTCTACACTTAATGCTCCTCAACCTCCTTCCTGAGGGGAGCGGGGCAAAAAGTGTGTGTGCTGGGTGAGTGGGGTCCTTCATGATGCAGGTGGCTCTCTTCCTGCATCTGGAGGTATTTCGTAATGGAACAAGGCAGGATGTTTTCCACAACACTGGAACCTTCTCCTGAGTCAGGCTAAGGTTGAAGAGGTGCTGCAGAACCCCACAGAGCTGCTCTGCACAGACCTTCTGGACTCTGGGACTGACAACATCTGGACCTGCAGCCTTAATCCAGTTCAGTCTTTCCAGCTGCGTCCTCACATGACTTCTAGAGACTCAGAGGGTGGAGGCAAAGGACGTATCAGCATCTTCTGATTTGGTTGAAGATCAACATGTAGAAGAAGAAGGGTACATGACTGAGGTGGTAGATACAATATTTGAGGTGTGACAGGACAACCTTGGGTCAATGGAGGGTGGTATGTATGTTTGACTGTGGGCACGAGAGGAGGATGCTGAGCTTGTTCCTGAACTGAACCTATTGAAGAATGTGTTCAGTTCATTGGCTCTGTCCAGGCTTCCATCTTACTGATCCTCCTTCTGCTTGAAGCCTGTGATCTTTTTCATCCCTGACCACACCTCTCTGATATTGTTCTGCTGGAGCTTGCTCTCCAGCTTTTTCTTGTACAGCTCCTTGCTGTTATGATTGTTATGAGATATCATGATTACCTTAACATTAAATGACGTTTTCCAAGTTTCCTGAGATTCAACCACATTCAATAGGCTATGTAGCTCTTGAGTATAGCAAGGTCGTGATTTAGTGTTAAGGGAGTCTCACTGAAATAAATCAGCAATGACTTGAGCCTGTTTTATCATATAAAGCCTGTCCTGATGCATGCTCAATAATCCAGGTAGAAAAATCTAAAAATGTTAAACTTCCTCGGTCTGAGGTGCTGTATTCAGCTCAGTCTCTTAAATAGCACCTTAGAGTGGATCAACCAGTTTTGCTGCTGACAACCAAAACCAGCTGATCACATGCTCAAGCAGGACCATCAGCCTAACGATGGATCATTAGCACACTGATGGCTGTTTACTATTCACAGAGGGCTGAGTGATACTAGCAATCACAGCATTGTAAGAGGGGGACAATTGCACACGTAGGCCTCCACCCCTGTTTAACGATGGACGATTTCTTTTCACAAAGATGGCC